ATTTTCCTAAAAAATCAATTATTATGATACAAAGAGAGTATTATTGTAGATTTTTTTTAAATATGGTATTTTTGAAAAATCATCCTTAATTAATATAAACAAGTTGTGCCTTTTTTTAAATGATTTGTTACATGTTTTGTATAAGTCAATTTAAACTGAAGAGACTTCGATTTGGGACACTTGATTGCATTGGAACCAAACGCGGGATCTTCGTCGTTTTTGTATCATCGTTAAGAGTGACTATGCACGCGGACTAGTGGCAAATAATACCTTTTTAGAAATCGGATGAATCAAAATATTGCAAGCATTACTATTTTTAAGGTCCACTAAATTCAATACCATGTATACATAAACATAATACATATACTTCGAACTTAGTTCTGATGACATTAGAAAACGATGTCCATTGCGAAAACATAACTAATAATAAAATTATGAAAATCACATAGCATTTCATGATCGGTAGAAAACAAGATGAGGACAAAAAAAGAAGAAGGTATTTTCGCTACTTTTTGGATTATCAATCAAGCTCCAATGAATCAGTCTATCACAGTTCAAAATTGCTAACAACAACAAAAATTCATACTGGTATATAGTAATAGTCCCAACAAAATAATAAACATGCATCATGCATGTGCATATAAACACGATTATAGTACATCGGAATATGCATGCAATGGTGAAAATAGTATCAGANTCAAGAAATGAAACGTAGTATTTAACAATATCATGAAATATTTTACTAATCTAAACTATGTATTTTACTTATAAAGCTTAAAACTAGGTCGTTTCTGACCATATAATATATTATATATTAAACGAGTCAAAATCATGTAGACATTCTTCGTGACTTTACTTATTATATATATTAAAAAGCGCAAAATGATCGTTAACAAGTTAATTATGATGAGGCGGGTGCGTGGTGGGCTGCATATAATCGAGACTAAATCCAGGATGTTCTTGATCTGATTTAGGCTGCTTCTTTGAATATTTAGGAACTTTCCAAGTTCTCGACACTCTTTTAGACGACACCGTTTTGGCTTGTGAACCTCGTTTGACTCTTTGATCGTCCTTCGTACTCTCCCCATTGACCTGGCCATGATTAACTATAGCATGTTCGATCGGTGCTTTGCTCGATAAGGTTTTCGTCTTGCTTGTTGACGGAGCTTCTAATTTTGTAATCTCTTCGTTATTCTGTGCCATGAAAAATGAGTTTATAACATCTTTATATGAACATGAATTAACTTAGCTAGGTTCTCTCTATATAATTAAACTAATTACGGTTTACATTTAATACAAACCCGATTACATATATGAAGCTCTTGAAATATAAAGGAAACTAGCTACACTACTTGACCATGTAGTTTGCTCCGAGTCCGAACTTCATATAGACTTTAAAGGTTGGATCGAAAAGATTGTTCATATATATATAAATAATTATAGACATAACTAGATTTTGTATGAAAATAAAAAACGAAATCCAATTCATCTACGTACGTATATTCAAAAAATCATTTTTAAAGTCAAGAACCTTATACAAACTAGTTGCACCTTCTAAAAAAATGGACTGTTTACACATGTTAATATCAATGATGATCAAGAAATATTTGTCCGTGTTGATTAGCTGAGTAATATAAGCTTATGTGTTTGTGAATGATTAAAAAACTTCTTCAGAAAACTCCCTATTATCATTTGCGCACACACAAGAAAACCAAACATCATTAAAAATAACGAGACTATAACATCACAAAGCGAATTGGGGCTAACCTTCGTAATTAACTGATCACGTTTCACACCAAGCTTCCTCTCCATGGGCCCAATACGACGAGAATCGCATAAACAAGATCGAGAAACGATGCAAAAACCGATAAAAAGGAAAAAGAAGTAAGTAGTCCTCAACATATCCACACGAGTAGTACTGATCAAAGAAAGATGACTTAGATTATAACCAAAACGGTTAGAGACCAATATATATAGAGATGGAGAAATATGACGGTTTGAAGTAATCGTGATTGTTATAAATGCTTAAGGAAGAAGGATTGTGTAATAAATGC